GGTCTGGGGCAGCCCTTTCGCATCTCGAGCCCGACGAGCGCATTTGCGCTTGGCGTCCCGTCAGCGACATTCTCCATCGCCTTTTCTGCTCCGCTGTTGCGCCAGGCGGCGGCGAGCGTGGGCGTAGGGGCTTCCTCTCGTCGACAACTGTCGTCTGTGGTTCGGTTGTCTCCGCTTCGACATCTCGTCTCTGTGTCCTGCATCAGCAAGTGGCCAACGCCGTTTGCGCTGAGCCCTTGTCGAACAGTTGCGCCATTGTGTGCGCTTCGCCGTCGTCAATGAAATGCGCCTCCTCGAGGAACTGTGAGCTATCAAAGAGCAGCGCCATCGTGTGCGTTGTGCCCTCTTCAAGATAAAATGTTGTTCTGCCTGCCCTCGTGTCAGGCATGTTTGCCGGCCCATGGGAGCGACCTCGTCGCGCCACCTGTTTCAAGTCGCGAGCGGCCCCGTGATTCTTGCTTGCCATCATCATCATCATCATCGCCCCCATCATCACCATCATCCTCGCCACCACCATCTACGTCATCATCTTCATCATCATCATCATCATCACCATCATTGTTATCGTGATCATTATCTTCTTCATCAGCATCATCATCATCATCAACAACAACATCATCAACCTCGTCAACGTCATCAACATCGTCATCATCATCGACAACATCATCAGCATCATCATCATCATCAACAACAACATCATCAACCTCGTCAACATCATCAACATCGTCATCATCATCGACAACATCATCAACATCATCAACATCATCAACAACATCATCATCATCAGCGACATCGTCGCCGTCATCGAAATCACCGCCATCGTCCTCTTTGTTTTCATCGCCATCATCAACATCGTCATCATCATCGTCATCATCGTCATCATCATCATCGTCGTCATCACAATCATCATCATCACGAACATCATCATCGACATCATCATCATCATCAACATCGTCATCATCGTCAGCGACATCGTCGCCCAGATCAACATCACCTCCATAATCGTCATTGTCATCGTGTTCATCATCGTCGTCATCATTGTCCTCATGTCGTGCCACGTGTCGCAAGTGGCTGGGACGACGGGAACGGATGACGTGGGCATCGGGGCACACGGTTTGCGTGTCCCGTTATGCGTCTCTCTCATTCGTTCGACGCGACCTCCCCCACGACTCTTGTTTGGCTTGGCATTGAAGAAACATTGTCGTTGACCACAAGCTGGGCATTGCAAACCACTCCCATGCGGTCGAGGCAAACACGAAATCGCCTATTCCCAGCGGAACACGAGCTCGTTTCTTGTTCTATACAAAGAGATTAGAGGTTGGTTATCACAAAGGAGACCCATGGGCTACGCGCGACCGTTGTTGGTATTAAGCGTCGTGCCGTGGCCACGGTGGGAAGGATGTCCGCTGTCCACGTGGCGTGCAGTGAGAGGTAAGGTATTCATAAACAGGAGGGGGTCGTCGTTCTGTATTTGTGTTCTCGCTGCAACACTTGAGCCTCCCTTCCCAAAGAGACTATGGTGTCAATCCCGGGAGAGTTGCTGTCGTCTCCATCCCGTGCACACAACGTGCACATGATCCACCATAGAGGCCATGGATGTTGAGCGCGCGCTCCTGGCGCTGGTCGTGAGGGATGCGATATCGCATTCCGCACGACAAATGCCAGGACTGTGCGCGCAACATCCGCGGCTCCAGAACGAAGAACGCACACGTTGCGTGCGCGCGATGGAGAACGCCTGCGCCGCTCGCTGCAATGACGATGGCGTTTCTTCGGCGTGAGCGCCGCATGTTTTGTGACGACAACCTCGACATGAAAACATGTCCTCGTTCAGTAACGAACAATCCAGCCGCCTGCGGGAAACGTCTCAGTCATCGGGGCAAGGGGGGTCGCCATTGTCACCGCAAGCTCGAAACCAACAATAGCTAAACGAAAAACAGCGTGTGGCGTGTGGTTGCCTGGCGAGATGGGAAGTTCTGGTCCCGGCGAACTATAGCAATCATGCGCAGTGCTCTCGCGAAAGCAGCAATCTGTTGTGGTCGCTCGGCCGCAGCGAGAGCACGGGCAGGTGCGAAAATAACGCATGATTGCTGTAGTTTGCCGGGATCCGAAGTTCCCATTTTTTTGGCGGTTGTTGGTTTCGCGTTCGCGGTCACAATGCCATCCCTGGTTGCCCTGATGACTACGTTTTGCGGGACACAGTTCCCACCTTTCGGGCGTTGGGTCGATAGTTCATAACGCCATGCAAGATTTCAGCGTGCGACGAAGTTCGGATCCCGGCGGACTTGCAATCTGAAGCATGCAAAGTCGCGGGTTGCTCGGATGATAATTGTTGTTTCGACCGTGTCGCTGAAATAAGACGCTTACGGTTTGCATGGATCTTTTCAGAGTCCTGGTTCCATGACTGTTCGCTTTGTCGATGAGGATAATCGGGGTACATGGGGGTCTATTGGGGGCCGCGCTGCGCCAATTTCCGACGTGGTGCACCTGCGACAACCATTTCTGTTCTGCGTGCTCTGTCGGAACAAACACTTGTGAGTTGCAGCAGGGCCTCCCTGAACATGCAGCCAAGCCTAGCGTTCCTTTTGTGCAATTCCACACCGGTCATCCAAATATTCGTCGTCCCCCGCGCAAACCGGTTCCTGGCCAGTCCAGCAAGTGCCAAGTTCGGATCCCGGCGGACTTTGAGGTCCCGCGTAAATTTAACCGCCGTTTTCGACGGCCACGACTGTCGAGTGCGTTCTGATTACGAGAGGCCTCTAGGCACGCAAAAGTGCTCGCATGAGGCCTGGAGCTTCAAGTGTGAGTTGATTGCGTGAGGAGTGTGGGTGCGAAAAATTGCTCACCTTCTGAGATGTCCTTTGAGGGGTTTGTCGGGGTTGCCGACGGTGATAGCGGCCATGTCCCTTGTCTGTGTGCCGTCGATCTTTGTTGCCCCCAGAGGATTTTGACTGTCCTGGTGCGCGGATTCTTGTCGCACACATGCTCGTGTTTCTGCCTGGTTTCCGCTTCGCGCTTTCGCACGTCGACGTTACCGGCGCGCGAATCGGGGGTCGCCTTGTCGACTAGCCGAATCGGGGTTTGGAAGGGTTGCAGGTGGGGGTTTTCATCAGTTTCTACATATTTTTTGTCTGCGCAGTTGGGATGTCCAATCTCGGTGAACTCTTGCCCTAGGGGTCAGTTTGGGGTCGCGCTGCACCCGATTTTGTGGTGGTGCATCCACCGCTGCCCTTTGCTCTGCGTGTGCTGACGTTCAACGACAGCTTGAGAGCTGCAGAGCCTTCCTTCTGTGCGGCCGAGGATAGCGTTCCTTGTGTGCACCCGCTGGCGCTGCGTTCCACTGACACCGGCCGCGCAAAAACAGGTTCCTTGCTACTCCTGCACCGGCCCAATTCAGATCCCGAAGGGCTTCCACGCGCCGCATGAATCTGACCGTTGTTTTCGACGGCTTGGAGTTCTCCGTCCGTCTTCAATGTCGGCGGCCTGGTATTGCGCAAAATTGCTCGCCTTGTAAGTTGCCCTGAACGGGGTTTATTGGGGTTGATGACGGTGTCACTGGCCGGCTCCATTTTCGGTGTGCGGTAGATCTTCGTTCATCGGCGCCCCAAATTGCGGTGCGCCCGAGCAACGCCTGCTTCTGTGCAAACGCCATCGACCACTTACGAATGCAGGCGAATCCACCAAGTTCGGATCCTGGCGGACTTTGATGATTGACGCGAATCTATCTGTCCTTTGCGTGGCGCCTGGAGCTTTAAGTGTGAGTTGATTGCGAGAGGACTATGGGTGCGAGAAATTGCTTGCCCTCTTAAATGCCCTTGAAGGGGTTCATGGGGGTTGCCGAAAATAAGGGACACGACCGTTGTCACCATCAGCAACCCCCATAAACCCCTTCAAGGGCATTTATGAAGGCGAGCAATTTTTCGCACCCACGATCTTTTCTGCCCCCCCAAGGGTTTTCACCGTCGCGGTGTGCGAAGTCTTGACGCAGACATGCTTGTGTTTCTGCGTGCTGTCCGGTTCGCGCTGCCGCACGTCGACGTTCCCGGCGCGCGAATCGGGAGTCCCCTTCTCCACTGACCGAACCAATGTTTGGAAGGGTTTAAGGGGGGGGTTTTCATCCTTTTCTGCATTTTTCTTGTCTGCGCAGTGGAGATGTCCGTGTTTGATAGCTATTGCACTAGTGCCAGCGAATGGAACACCGCACGGGCTCGCTTAGACGATGGTGAGAATCGGTGTTTATAGGGGTGTGTTTGGGGTCGCGCTGCGTCGAATTGTGTGGTGGTGCATCCACCACTACGCTTTGTTCTCCACGTGCTATCGTTCACCGACAATAGAGCCTTCCTTCTGCTCGCCCAAACATAGCGTTCCTTGTGTGCACCCACTGGAGCTACCTTCCACTGATACAAGCCGCGCGAAAGCAGGTCCTTGCTGCTCCTGCACCCGCCAAATTCGGATTCCGGCGAACATAGAAGCTCCCCGTGAATCTGACCGTTATTTTCAACAGCTTGGACTGCCCAGTCCGTCTTCAATGCCGGCGGCCTGGTAGTGCAGAAAAGTGCTCGCCCTATGAGTTGCCCTGAAAGGGGTTTATTAAGGTTAACGACGGTGTCACTGGCCGGGTGCATTTTCGATGTGCCGTGGATCTTCGTTCATCGCTGCCCCGAAATGCGGTGAGGCCGAGCATCGCCTGCTTCTGTGCAAACGCCATCCACCCGTTCCAATACCTGCAGCCGCGCGAAAACCTGTTACTCGCTGCAGGCAAATGCGCCAAGTTCGGATCCAGGCGGACTTTGAAGATCGGCGCAAATCTATCCGTCCGTTGCATGGAGCCTGGAGCTTCAAATGTGAGTTCATTGCGAGAGGACTGCGAGTGCGAGAAATTGCTCGCCCTCTGAAATGCCCTTGAAGGGGTTCATGGGGGTTGCCGAAAGTAAGGGACACGACCGTTGTCACCATCGACAACCCCCATAAACCTCTTCAAGGGCATTTCAGAAGGCGAGCAATTTTTCACACCCACGATCTTTTCTGACCCCCAAGGGTTTTGACCGTCGCGGTGTGAGGAGTCTTGACGCAGACATGCTTGTGTTTCTGCGTGCTATCTGGTTCGTGCTGTCGCACGTCGACGTTCCCGGCGCGCGAATCGGGGGTCGCTATTGCGCTAGTGCCAGCGAATGGAGCACCGCACGAGCTCGCTTAGACGATGGTGAGAATCGGTGTTTATAGGGGTCTGTTTGGGGTCGCGCTACGCCGAATTATGTAGTGGTGCATCCACCACTACCCTTTGTTCTGCGCGTGCTATCGTCCACGGACAACAGAGTCTTCCTTCTGTTCGCCCAATCATAGCGTTCCTTGTGTGCACCCACTGACGCTACCCTCCACTGACACAAGCCACGCGAAAACAGGTTCCTTGCTACTCTTGCACCCGCCAAATTCAGATCCCGGCGAACTTTATGCCCTCAACGCATAAATTTGACCGTGCTTACAGTTTGCTCCGTTGTTTTTTAGGGTGTGAACACGAATTCGAACGACCCGTTCGACCCGCACAAGAGAGAATAATCCATTACGCTGACGGGAATCGCATCCGCTGCACCGACGGTTGCATGACGGCGCCGAAGAAGGCTTGGCGAACGGCCGCATGAACCGGGCTATGGAAACTAAACAAGCCGTCGACTTGCATTGCCAGTTACAACACCTGGAGTTGGCCCTGAAGACCTCTTCGGACAATTCGCCGTTCCAACAGTCAGCTGCAGATTTCCCAAGAAAATGAAATCTCGCTTTTCTTGAGAGTTTTGGAGCTTGCATCTAACTGCCCACAGAATTGGCAACAACGTCCGCGGCCGAAAAACCGTCTACCTCCTGGATAGAGTTCCACATTCCTGGCGAGGTGCACCCCACAGCTTCGGCGCACAGCAGTTGCGTGCCAATGGGTGTTTCTTACGCATCGTCTGATGACGAGAGTGAGCGGTTGGTGGCCACTGATTACTCGTCAGGAAAACGGTCCTATTCCAGTGGACCTTTGCTTCGCGCTAGCTCCAGTACTACGAACTTGGTTGCCACCGACTATTCTTCGGAGGAGCTTTCCACAGCACGGGYGAGTCCAAMRCATATGCGAAGTGATGATGCGATTCCAAGTCAGAGCGAGTCTAGGTCGGAATCGTCTGGCAGGGGTGATGCAGAGAGAAGGGCGATACTGCAGATTTT